ATGTGGGTAGGTCCTCGGTGTGAGTGAGCTATATCCACCCTGAAGGTTAATCTTGGACAATATCTGATGATCGACAGCCAACAGTATTTTTACAATCTTTATTTTACAGTTAAAACATATGTTTATCAAATAAAGTCTAAAGTTACAACTAATCAGGGATCCCTTTAACCATCTACAATAAAAATAATAACAGAGGTTTTACAACAACTGAAATCAAATGCTAAGGAAATAGCTTAAAAAACAGACTATATGAAAGTTTTCTACCAGTAATAATTGGTTTTGACCAAAGCATTTAATTTTATCACCATGAATGCAGCTTACCTCACGTGGACAGTGCTGGGGACATGGTAACCTCCGGTTTTTTTCTAACAGGTTTAAAAGAGCCATCAAGTTCATCTGTCCGTCAGATTCCTGCGTCATTTCAAAGAACATCTACAAAAGCATACMAAAGAAGAAACAAAAAGTTTTCACAGAGAAAGTGCAATATTTTTTAACTGGTTTCTCATTTGAACGTGCGCAGGGGTCATGAAGAACCTACTGTTGGAGGGCTTCTGCGATGGTCACAGTTGGTCAGGATCTCATACAGAGTAACTGCGAAAGACCAAACGTCGGACGCAAAAGAAAACTTTTGCTCCTTCAAGCACTCGATAGCATACCTATCAAATGCAAAACACCAAGTTGAAATGGAAAATCAGACAAAAGAGCTCTTGAATGTGATGCATGAACTAACCAGAACACGGGGCTGTCTCCGTTTTCATGAACTCTGTAGTAGATCTCTCCCTCAGGGATGTATTTGGTCAGGCCGAAGTCTCCGATCTTTACCAAACGGTTGTTTTCCACCAAGACGTTGCGGGCAGCCAGATCTCGATGCACATAGCGCTTTGAGTGCAAGTACTCCATTCCCTTTAAAAGAAGGCGACAAAAGACGTATTTCACATTTGACAAAAAAAAGTTTCTGTCTCTGGGTCAATCCACGACTCTAAGCTGGTTTGAATCAAACAAAAGCAGGAAGTGGGCCCACAAACAATCTGGCCTGTTTGATTTTTTTTTTCCCCATGTATTTATTTGTGAACATATGTGCTGTGAATAAACCTAAATCAAGAGCATTTATGCAATCAGTAATAGATAAATTAAAACACTTTAACGCTCTTTAATCAGCTGACTGGCTAGCTTTAAATTTCGCTTTGTTCCAGAACTGGATTTGTAATTATAAAGCCGCACAGCCAGTGACTTTCTCTGCTTATTTCTGTAACCTAATAAAGTGTTTCCATGTAGCACTGATGTAACTTGGCAACTACCAAGCTGATTATTTACATTCTAGACCTGACACGGCAAGGAAAAAGAAGCTGAAACTCAATGTACTGATCTGATATTTTCTAGGTTGGTAGAAGAAGAAGAAAAAAAAAATCATCACTTAACATTTGAGCTGTTTAATTTCTTACCAGAAACTGAATAAATAAAAGTCCACAAAATATATGAGTAGCATAATGGTAATGTTAACGTTTTGCTTTATCTTCCTCAAGAAGTAGGGCTGCATGTTGTTTATCGCAGTGACAATGATTTTGCCTCTGTATCTGTGTGTGCATGACCAAAATAGAYATAACTGTCGTTTCTTATCACAAGATGACCTCAGTTTAAAATTCTAGCACGCAATGCAGCAGGCAATATTAGAATGCGATTTTTCAAGGACAGCCCAGCTGTAATTGTGAAAGTTTTCATGTTGTAATAAAAAGGATAAGAAGGCCACAGCTACCCCTGAGTAGAGAACAACTTGTCAAGTCTGCAGTTTAGGTTAGGTTGTTGCTCCTGCAAATCCATATCAATATTTTTTACTGAACTAAAACAGTATAAATCAAGAGTCCAAGAACACGAAACATAATCAGCTGAACTCACCTGACAGATCTGCTGAGAAAACATGAGGCACTGGGACACGCTGGCTTTATGTTTAGGAAGATAATCCCGCAGGCTCCCCTGGGGAAGGTACTCCATTATCAGCTGGACCTGTTGTCTTCCTGTCAGGGCGAAACACGACAGCRTTTTATCTCCCCACTTTATTATTTTCAAAACGATGAGCTGCTGTCTGAACTGGTGCTCAGCAGCCTGAGTGTYGAAAGCTCCAAATATTGACATACAATGAAACCAGGCGTGCACTTTGAATAGATTTTCAATACGAACAAAGGAGCAGAAGGGACCAAAATCAATTCTATGACCGATTCATTCAGTAAAACATGYGAGACTGTATTTGATACAAGTTTTCACAAGCATATCTAAAGCAGACAGGAGACTTCGAGGACCTCACCTGGCTCAGTGCAGCAGCCCTTGTACTTGACAATGTTGAGGTGGTAGAGGGATTTCAGGATATCAATCTCCTTCATCCAGCCCTCGGGCGAGTTACCTTCTTGCTTCAAGGCTTTCACTGCCACAAGCTCCCCAGTGCCGTCGTTGCTGGGGTCATACAGGTACAGCGTCACCTTTCCAAAGTGTCCCTGTAAACAGAGCAACGYGTCAGATCGCTCTCCTAATGCACGAGAGGAGAAAAGCACACGCGTGCTGCTTCCACTCACCTCGCCTAAATCCCGCATCTTTTTCATGTAGCGCTTCTGGAAACTGCTGGGGTCAGGCGGTGGGAGCGTGACGAAGGGAAATATGCCRGGATCTGTGGGAATTAAAAATAAATCAAAAATCTGTCAAACAGTCGCACTAAAACAAGAGAAAAAGGTAAGTAATTAATGACCGACTTTTCTTTATGATCTCTGTGAGCTCYCTGAGGATGGTACGAAAGGAAGGCCTTGCGTCAGGGTCGTATGTCAAACACATGCTGACGAACTCAGACAGGTCCTGAGAGGACGGTTCGGCGAGACGACCCTTTTGCTGATAAAAACGCTCTTTCTGTTGGRTTGAGAGCGAGTGTTATGGGGGCAYRCGCAGCTTCTGCCCGTTAAAAGAGAAGTGCATTCGACGGCTGCGGCCCGGGCTTACCTCGGACAACGTGCTGCTGCTCATGGGAAGGATGCCATTGTTGCAGATTTCAAGCAGCGTGACGCCAAAGCTCCACTGGTCAGCAGCGTTGCCGATAGGAGCGTCACTGTCGACGCATTCKGGGGCGATCCACGGGATCCGGTCCAAACGTTCTGCAGCGAAGAACATTTGTTACAGCAGCTCTGGATTGTTTTGTTTTTTTCTTTTGAAGAACTCCTCAAGACAAGAACATTTTAATAAATTCTGGAATAAAACTTGGGAAAATAAAAGGAACTTTTATAAAAAMTAGTGGTTCAGACTTGTTTGAAAACTTAAATTCTATACTGTGGAGTAAAACTGCAAAACAACAGGAAACATGTCTGAGGAAGTGGTCTACTAAACCTTCCTGGTTTCTAAATCTGACTGAATTCAAGCAGAAAAGCCCATCAAAGTACAGATCTGCAGCTGATTGAGAAATAATGAGAAATAAAACTTTGCTTACACAGAGCTGTGTGTGCTTACCTTCTCTTGTGAGGACGTTAAGAGCAATTCCTGGATCACTCAGCTTGACAAAAGGTGAAGTGCCAGGTTCTATTCCCCGCCTTGCCACCAGAATATTCTTGGCACAGACGTTCCCATGAACCAGGCGTTTCGTCTCCTACAAWAAAAATAGTACATATGTTGACTCAATGATGAGCCTGTTCATCCTGTTGCTGTCTGACAATACAGACCTATGATCACTGTACGACCAAACTACACACAGAACACTCCCTTTAAACTCTGAGATTCCTGATTTTTATTTACAGTTTTCTTTTCGTAACTATCAAAGAAGCCACTTTTCAGCCTCTTCTTAAATCATAATCAAATTATTCCTTATGGAGGGGAAAAGACCTTGAGTGTGCATCTTTAACCTGGTGTCTTAATATTGCAGAATTCCCTTCTGGTGAGCAGCAGCTTCGGTATAAAACTTGGTGTTCAGTAAGAAAGCTGCACTGTTTGAAATCTAATGCCCACTGAACAGYAGCTCGTTTTAAATAATAACCGTAATGCCTGTTCTACAAAAAAAAAAAAAAAACAGCGTTGAACTCACAAGATAAGTGAGGGCACTCGCAAGTTGTAAGGAAACAACCAATTTCCACTCCGCTTTGATGACGTCCCCTGCTCGGCGAAGGAAGACGTCCAAAGGCCCAAACTCCACATATTCTTCCACCATGATGTCTGCGGAGACAGAAACAAGTCTGGTTAGACAATAAACCACAGAAAAAATGTAAACAAAGTCATTTTGTTTTTAAAATAGAAACTGCTGGGTGCAGTTTTGCATTCAGTTCAGAGTTGACTTGTAATTTGAATGGCAGATTTGACTAAAGACATGGGACATGGTGCGAAACGGGGAAGCAGCAAATGAGGAAGTCGCTAAAGAAGAAGTGAGTGCCTTACTTTCAGATCCTTTGACTGATACACCGTGCACAAACACCAGATGACTGTGGGATAACTGGCTCATGAGACTTGCAGTTTCAAAAAATGCCTTAAAAAAGAGAACATAGTGATGAAAGCATCAATAAACAAAAAGTAACATAGTGCACTGCAAAGCAAACGACTGCAAACATTCTAGCTTACCAGAGCAATATCTTTATGGCTTTGGTCTAAAACCTTCAGAACCACACGAATCATTTTAGAAACGTTGTTGTTGCTGAACTCCCCTGCCACACACAAGCGTCCTAAATAGATGTTGGTTCTGGTGCCACGACCCAAATGTCCTTCCTGCACATAAACACTTGATCAATGACAGAACATCGCAGCATTAAGCCTGTGCTAATGCAAAAAAAAAAAAAAAAAAAGCCTGATTAAATGTGGTGTGAAAAGGTCATGTCAAGAAAATCACAAAAAATGACATCAGAGACAGAACTGTTGCTCTTTTGCTGTTTGTAGCTCAAAGCTAAAATAGCTAGCATGTTAGTAGGCGTAAAATACAGCCTACTACCGCAGGCTAATTATCATCTAGTTAATTATGGACATCAGCTTTGAAGGCTTTCAACTTTACTCAGTAGTAATACTTGATTTAGAAGTAAAAATAAACTAGAAATATTTTTAAAAAACAGCTTGTTTACTCAGGTGTTTTAGCTGGCACTATTAAAATTTAAATTTACATTAAATTAAAATTTCAGCCTTGATTCTTTAAATATCATAAAAAATATAACTATTATAATATAAAAAACAATCTGTCCTGAGAAACAGTTATTGTGACCATGTGTTCTCCTAGTTTATTTATATTTGTGCAYTAAAATAAAAAACTTGAAACAAATTCTTTATTTAGTATTATAACACTACTATACTTATAATACAATCATTATTAAGCAACATGTGATAGTATTTAGGCAGCAAAATTATTTGCATTTATTAATTTTAAATAAAAAGTAAATTTAAGATGTTTGTTTTAATACTTTATCGTGATGAAACTGTGGTGTTTTTGTCACAATCCAATATGGGCTCATTTCTTATCACCTGTGTGATTTCTTTGTCCTTAATCTGGTGGAAGCGGAGCTGCGTCAGGTTCAGCTCCAAAGACCCGGAGTTGGTGCGGAGGTCACCACCCTGCCTTTTCACCAGCAGGTTGGATATTTCTGCAACCCAAAACCAGACAAATGTGTTAGCACCAAGAGTACAGATGACCTAATGCTGAACAATATCTGAGACGCCCAACAGCACAAACCTCCTTGTTTCGGCAAACAGCATTTTCTGACCGTAAAGTTGTCCGAACCGGACTTGAGCACGAAGGTTTTGAGGCTGTCTGTGAGCTCCTTCACRCTGGAGAACTCTCGGTCCCAGCCCTCCATGACGAACACAGAACCCTTCTGCTGGATACGAAACTGCTTGTGGCTCGGCGCCGAGTCGTTCTGTGCATCGGCGCAGATTTAAATATAGGGTCTGAAAGGTTTCGCCGCCGCTGCAATAATTCCCAGAGAGAGCGGCGTGGGCGTCGACTTACCTCGCTTCTGTTCAGCACAGCAAGGATGATGCGGTGATAGTCGAGGGCGCTCCATCGAACGAGGAACGTTCCGACCTCGGCTGCCTCTTTTTTTAGCTTGTGCAGCACGAAGTCATCACTGCAAGCACATCGGAGCGGTGATGCAAGCACGTCTTTTACGGCCCCGTTTGTGTGTGACCGTGCTTTTGAAAAAGATCTGTAAAACTCACTGCATCGGTCCGTGCAGCAGATTCGCTTCGCTCAACACCACCCTGGCGGGAGCCACTTCTCGACAGAGGTAGTGGTGGGCGTCCGCAGTCAGTCTGTAGTACCCATCGAGGAGGGAGATGAAGGAGCAGGCCTCTTGGCTGGATCTCATCTCTACCTCCTACATACACACACAGAAACACTGGCTTAAAATCGGAGCTCCACACACTCATTTAAACATGACAAAGTGCCCAAAGCACTTAGCTACAAGAATATGAGATAAACACATAAAGTGAACTCAAACATTAAACATGCTAAATAATCTGGTCAGCKGATGGGTTAATAGACGCAGCTGATGCATTACAAGCACATTTACCAATTAAATGAATGTATCTCAGCTCGTACGTTGAAAGATAAACAAGCACTCTCACCARGCATTGATTGAGCTGAGTGCTAATGCGCACATTAGACTCGTTTATGTCTATGACAGTTATTTCTGGGAAATCACAGAAGAACTCCCAGTCGTCGTGACTCTCCCCGTTTGCTTCGCTGGAGTTTTGTTTCGATTTCTTTGACAAGTTCAAATAATTGTTCCTGAGACGGGGGTCCGTCTGCTTCTAGGAAAAAAAAGGAGAGCAAACAAAAAGTCAATACGAAGAAATACAAAACACAGAATTAGGCGATTAAAACAAGTCTTTTGGCGAACCTTCTGGCTCAACTTCCTCCAGTGGATCCCCTTAGTGCCAGACACCATTATTTCATGCGTGGCCTCAGCACCGCAGGGTTTTCTTAAGTCGCCGTCGCAGCGCGTGTAAGAGCTGCTCCCGTTGCTGTGTTCAGTCAGTTTCCAGTCGCTTACTGAGAAAGCCTCCGTGCCAAAAGACGGAGCCAAGTGTTCGAGGGTAGAGATGTACTTATACATGATCTCCTGCGCACCCAGATGTCCGATATCCACCGTGTGCTGCTGGAAGGTCCGTACAAAATCGGAAAACACCCGCCGGATCCTGATTTTAGTCAGAAAGTTATCCCTGGATATGTGTTGGGCGAAAGACACTGGAATGCATTCTAGGAAGCTAAAAATAGAGGAAAGACACATGTAAAGGCAGCGAACAAAAAAAAAACAATAGTTATAGAAGCTGAAACATCACATTACCTATGTTTTTTAGCCACTTCCTGTAATGTAGAGTTCTTCTGTATTGCGAGGTGTGAGAGGTGAAGCACAGCCATGCCCAGACTCTCATTTTTGAAGCGACTTAGTTCCTCCTCTGACTCRATGTCCTCCATTTGCGCAACTTCATTCACAAACTCATATTTGGCCTGATTTCGAAACAGAGCACGCATCACTCTTGCATTGTTTGCAAAAATTTCAGAAGAGAACAACGCACATATAGCATGATGTCCGGCACAAACCTGCGCAAACAAATACTCCAAGGATGTGATATCAAGCAGAGGAGAGCCCGTCTGATCTGATTTGAGAGCATACCGGAATACGTTTGGCTCTTTGTCGTTTAGTCCATGCCAGTTCCGAAAGTAAAACCTGGGCAGATCAAGGACATAAATACTCCCACGGTTTTAGCCGTCAACCACACAAGTGTTGTACAGCCATGAACTAACCTCATACAGTAGTGAAGTATTACACCGGAGTCCATTTTTGGACTGAAAACATGATTTGGACTGTACCAGCACTGCTGTTGTAGATCGTACAACGCAAACAGCACGTGACATAGGGGAGTTATTCCTGCAGGGGGGTTAAAAAATGAAGTTACACACCCATCTCAGCAAATGTGGAAGTTAGATGGAAGAGGTCACGCTCACCTACAGCCTCTGCGGCCAAGATGCACAGCTCCTCCGCTGTGACATCTCCGCTTGYGTGAGTCAAATATCTCTCCCCTTCTTTAGTCCAGAACATGTAAACATGAATGCCCTCGCACTGGGGGGGTCCATTCGAGCCTTGAAGGGTCCGCGCTCTTGAAAGCCCAAACCATCCTCTCACAGACATGTTGAACAGGATTGCTGACAGKCAGAAAGAAGACAGATCAAGTGCTGGCTTAATCAGCTGTTGTGTAGTCTCATGTCACGTAGGCTTTGGGGTTTCCACACATTTTCAGGAAGAGCCAATTTAGACCGGAAATATGCACTGTTCTGAAATAGCCGGCTCTAATGAGATGACTTTTAAAACTAACAACTTACAAAATAACCCACATCAAAATATTTTTTTACAAATATTACGTCAGTCAACCCGATTATAATAAATTGAAGAGGCCTTCCGGGGTTGTAACTTCGCAAACTTGTTTACTTTGTAAGTGAAGCTTTAATACGCATTAATACACGCGTTGTATTTTCGACATGTTAAATGTATTTAAATCACACTAACTCCGTCGCTGAGAGGCCAAAATGCGGCCCATGACAGTTCATACAATGTCTTAACAAGGAAATACAGTCCGTGTGTGTAAACAAGACCAWGTTTCAGTATTTGTTAGCGCGATGATATATTTAAAAACTTACCATTAACGTGACTTTATTGGGAGGTGCGCTGCGTTAAAAACACAGCCCGGTAAGATGACGGTCAAGCTTCATTATTTGCGGGACGTATTTCCCCTCCGCACCCACCCCCCTCTCCGGTTTCWTGCGAACTGCGCGAGTCAACGCTGCTTCCCGAAACCAAGATGGCAGCTTCCTGCTCCTCCTGCTAGGGGCGGGCACGCGCACGACGCATCAGACAAAACAAAACAAAAACTTATTGCAAAAGGTAAGGAAAGGGAATATTTGTTTTTCATTGTTTATTTGAATATAATCAGTATCAATATGGAAACCTTTTCTGTTGTATAATAACATACCAAAATAAAAGCAAAAGTGAAAAATAGGAATTGCTTTGAAATAAACTAAATCAATGTGTTTAGACTTAAGCACAGGGAATATTACTATTATAAAACTGTTGCATACCCATTCCAATTAAAAAAATGCATTTATATACATTTTTTAATGTCAGTACAAAAGTATAAGCTATCCATTCGCATAAACTTATTTTTCTGTTTCTTTTCGTCTTGCATATAAATTCAGTGATCAGCAACTCATGAAAATACTGCTTTCTAAACTGTTACTGTGCAGTATTTTATTCTGTGTCTGTTTTTCATGCATTTACAAGCCTAATTAGATTTTGACTTGTCTCTCTTCGGTTCACCTTCTGCATTTCCATAAAGTCATGCTGTTTGCATAAGTGTTGTGTTTTTGTCACAAGACAAATCCCAACCATCAAACAGAAGAAAAATTATAAAAAGAATTACACAACCCCCCATTTTTTCAAATATGACATATTCAGTCATTTGTCCATTTGTTCACTTCTTATCTTATTCTATAATACTCACTTGTTGTGCAGGTGCCTTGTTTTACATAAATRTTAAACACAAAACCACTCCGTTGTCAAACTCTGATATTGATGTTATTTTGACTAGGTTAAATACAGCTTCAAGTGTTTTTAGTCTCAGCTGCAATGAAAAACTGTCACATTTTCACTATAAAAAAAAGGTTCACACATTTCAAAAACAAGCTAGCTGCATATTTCCCACAAAGTTTTTATTTCATCCTTTACAATAGTCAAAAAAGCTTTTTTTTTATGGCAGATATACACTCTGGCCTTCAAAATAAAAGCATAGATTTGGTGTTGAAACTCCAATCACACTGCCACATTACCTAACAAGATTACATTTAGTCTTTGGATAAAATAAGCAAATTTTCCACCTTTTTTGGACAAACTAATAAAGGCTTCAGCACCTTCAGAAACTACTTCTATTTTGGTCACATAAGTTCATGTAACCAATGTCAGCAACAGTGTTATCTGAATACTGGTATCGTGATACAAAACAGGCACCAACAAGTCTATGTGAAGAAAATATGACCCAAGTCATTTTTACTCACCAGCATTCGTCTATTTATATTATTACTTTGATTCTTAAGCATTCCTTCTTTCATCCATGCAGACATCCCCACAATAACTGGGTCTTGACAAGGTGGACAGAGTTCAACCAGACGTTTATAGAAATAGACATTAGAAGAGAAGCATGTGATTTATAATTTGAAAAGAGCCTAAATGTCAAGAAAAACCCCTGAAAAAAAAGCAAATCTAATGTCCAATTAAAGAAGCCAGGCATGTGTTTGTTCATACACCCCTCTACAAACTAAAACATACAAATAAATGAAAGAATAGGACTTCAACAACGTCAATACACTCAAGCAGCAGTTTCCTATCTGGGAGTGTGGGGGGGGGGGACTCATCCAACAAAGTTAAGTGAACATGATTCAGTTTAATCTTTCTAAACTTCATGAGAAACATTCCATTAGCCAACTAATCATACACATATGAAGTCGCATTACATTGGGTGAGTACATTTGCAAAGAACAATTCAAAAAAAATTATTCTCGTCACTCTGTCTTTGTTTCCTCCAGCTCCTGTTTCACCTCTTCGTAGGTGGCTTCTTCTTCTTCTTTTTCATCCCCATCAGTTTTGGCGTTGGGAACCCAGAGTCCTGAGTCRATGCATCTTTTCATATGAAGCTTTGCCTCCTATAATGTGTGGAAAAACATATATACCTTTTTTTTTTTAAATCACAAACCTTTTTCAGCAATGCAAGTTACGATTTAACGATCAACTATTTAAAGTACACAAATTTGCAAACAAAAAACCAACCAACCGTTGGATCCATTTTGGTAATGACTTCTTGTAACATCTGGATGTCCTTCTCATCAAAACATTTCTGCATCTCCTGCCATTAACAACATATTTTGTTACTACATCGTGCACACCAGGTGTTTTAAACTCAACACGGTGAACTAAATGTTGAAGCATCTTACAACACGTTAACTTACAGCTGGCAGGGACTCGTACACCTCAACAGGATCTAGTCCACCGGGACCTATACGCTTCTGTCGTTCCTCTTCCTCCAATTCCTTCATGGCCTTTTCTATGCGGATCTTTGCTCTTCCCCGAACTCGCTCCTTGAATGATTCTAACTCATCGTTGAAAGCGTCCTGGTACTGCTGGTCAGCCGTCTGGGTGAAAACACGCACAACTTAAAGGCCTTGAAAGAATGCATTTCACTCGCTGCCATTATTGCCAGAGCTTTATACTAGTATCTTACGTTAGGTGTGCCCAAACTTTTTCCCCAAGAGGGCCAAATAAAAATCTGAGGGCTGCGGCAAAATGCAACAATACAGGAGATGTAAATACTTTTAAGAATGGATACACGATTAGTTGTAACATTAGAATTTATTTCATAAACATGTATTTTAACTGTAAAATCAAGAATGTAAAAATACTGTAGGCTGTTCAGTTTTGTAATTTTTAAAAAAATATATTTTAACACGGACAGAGCCATTTTATTTACGCGCAAACTGGGTAAGTAATGACTTTTGATGACGTCAACAAGAGAATGTTGACAGAGAGAAGGCAGAAACAACTCAGCCTGCAACTGCAAATGTGGAAGAAGAACCCCAGCTTAGCATGTTAGCTTTAGCGTTAGCAACGACGCTATATTGCCTTATTAGCTCAGTGCTAGCGCGACAAACAAGCTAAACTGAGGTTCTCCATCCATATTTTCAGTTGCAGGCCGAGTCACTTTTGTGTTCCCCTCTCTGTCATGTAGACGGAGGACCTCCGTGACGAGAGGAGAATGTGTAACACTGAGCTAATACAAATATATGGTGATAGCGTCGGGGCTAATGCTAAGCTAAGCTGGGGTTCTTCTTCCATGAAGCAGCTCTGTTGTCCTCCATCCATATTTTCAGTTACAGTCTGAGTCGTTTCTACCTTCTCCTCTCTGTCAACACTCTGGTTTAATTTAAGAGTCGATCATCAGATATTGTCCATAATTAACCTTCAGGGTGGATATAGCTCGCTCACGCCGTGGACCTAGCCATGTCATCATTTACCCAGAATGCTTTGTATGTAAATAAAATGGCTCTGTCTGAGTAATTTTTTAAAAATTAGTTTAAAAATTTACAAAACTAAACAGTCTACAGTATTTTTACAGTCTTTATTTTGCAGTTAAAATAAATGTTTATCAAATAAAGTCTAATGTTACAACTAATCATGGATCCCTTTAAGTAAAGTCATTTTATTTTTGAAGATTAAGCTAGCAGCCAGTGTTTTTTTTTTTTTTATTTCTTGGAGAAAGTTTGATGTGCACTCAGACAACAAAGGCTCATGGCACATTTCATGAATAGATAAATAATGAGTATCTATCATCTTACTAAGTGTGCAAATCTACATGTGCTTAAATCTAATGTAAATGCCAAATTGGTTACATAGTCATTGGGCCAATTGATGGAAGTGGAAATACAACCTAATAACCATGGCAGCTGCAGCCAAGCCAATCTGTCTTATTTTGTACTTGTTGTGTCAAACTTTGAATATAAAGTTATCCACTACCTCATGCTGCATCACGTCACGCTCAGACTATGTGGAAAATGACTCTCAGTTACCGCCACATCAAATTTTAGCTCAATTTCTGTCAAATGAACCGAGCTAGACAATTTTTTCCTTGCTAATGTTAACAGTGGCAAGCATTTTCAAATGGATTGATTTCCAAAAGTAATCAGTTATAGACGAATGGCCAGTGATTTACTTTCTGAAAGTTTCATTAAAATCCATCTTGTGGCTCACGATCATTTAATAACAAAGGTCCACGCTCACAAAATAATAGTTACCCACCTTCACCTTTCATTGACAGACAATATGCAATTAACATAAAAGACATTCCACCACAGAAAGCTTTCAGGAAGTGTAGGAACATTTACAGACAGCACAGCTGACAACAAGCATCCAGGAAGTCAAGTGTATTTTAGCAAAGTAAACAAGGTCCAGATGAAACTTTTGTACAAAAACTGACTTTTTCCCACAGGAAGCATCTTTTGATGTCTTTAAATTGCAAAAGTGATTTTATAAAATAATAATAAAATTACCTTGATCTTGGTAAAAAATTGACGGAAGCAACCACGGGGGTCCACTTTGAGGCTTTTTGACAGCTCTAGAATAAACTGCATGACGATAGTCTGATGAGCCACTTGCTCCATCAATGCATGTTTCTGTAAGAACAAGGGAACATGTTTAGAAACAAAACTGCTTGCAGCCAAATCAAAGAGTCGCATTCCGTTGAACTAAAGTCACCTCGTTTGCTTCTTTATTTATTTTCAATGTTTAGAACAACAGACATATTTATAAGCCAGAGCATTTTAACCGCCGTTTACCTCTTCGACTTCCAGATCAATGCACATGATGACGAGATAGTTGGCAGTTTCTTCACAAACAAGATAAGGATTGTCAGAGAGGTATTTCTGGCTGTCATCCCAACGTCGCAACATGCCTGAGGTCAAAACGGGATACATTGGAATCTCATTTATCCCAAAGGAAAAGGGGACTCGATTTTTCATTGTGGTTCTCAGYGAGGCTTACCGAAATGTTTGATCTGCTTCTCGTACTTTTCTACAAAGGTYTTGTGCTTTTGCTCCTTCTCCTCTTCGGTCTCTTCAGAAGGATCGGGTTTGACGTTGACGATGCTCTGTTGAAAACGGAACACAATGAATGCAAAGTCGTTCGTTTAAAACTACGTGTTTCGGTGACACTGCTGGAAATGTTCACGTTAAGATTTGTATCTCAAAACATCATATTTTTCAATTAAACAAATAAAGGAACCCAGTTTTGAGGTGAACATCTTTAGTTAATAAAATATAATAAATGCTGTCAAACTGTAAAATATACTGGTAGCACTGTCAATCTTGCTGACTGATATTGATTGAGCATCTTACTGTGGCCTAAATTTTTCCCCCTAAGCATCAAATCCCTTCTGTTCTTCTATGGATTGTTAAAAATATTTTTGTTTGAGTTGAGCAACTACTGTTATACTTAGTTAAAAAACAAACAAACAAACAAACAAACAAACAAACAAACAATGCTGGTCTTCTTATCTTGATAAAATCAGAACTTGCAGTTACAACTAATTGGGTTTCCAAAAATGTCAAATAAGACAGGACATTAAGCAATAAGTGTTTCAGGATAGATATACATCAACTTTTGCCTGAAACTGTGACCTGATGAAACACAGCTCAGAATCAAGGCATGTTAATGTGGTTGCCTTTAAATCAGAGGTTCTCAAACTGGGGTCCCTGGACCCCCAGGGGTCCGCGAGAGGTATCTTGGGGGTCCTCAAAATTTTTTACTAAAATGTGACCCATCACATCGAAACGAGGATTAAGTCCAAAAGTGGTATAAGGAGAAATAGGCAGATATAGTGTTTTGATTAAAATGTTAACACAAATGGCATTTTGTCAAAATATAAAGAATAAAAGCCTTATCAATGTATCATTTGAATGAACTGTCTGAAATATAATCATAAAACAAAGTTTTGAAGCACTTTTTTGAGCAGTAGCAACAAAATAAAAAAACTGATTTTGAGGAAAAATGCCTTAAAATTTTGAGATTTCCCCTGTGAGCTAGCAACCTTTTTTTATTTTTAGCTTTGAGGTTTCCTCTTTATAAGGACATCAAATATTCTTCACTAAAATGACATAAAATTGGGATTCATACATATGGATTTAATTAAGATATCAGAATGATCCAGACATCAAAATGTAGCTTTTAAATAGGGTTGGGCATAATCGTATCGTCTGCAATTAATTGTCAAAAAAACAGCTTCAAATATGACAAATATTTAAACAAAAGTTCTGTAATTTATTTATCAACACAATTTAAAWTTTGAWGTACAGCCTGAAGTCTGTGATTTTGACACAGTTTGAAAAAGATTTTTACGAAGAGCGAATCTTTCCCACTAAATTGGTCATGTGACCAGGACATAAGGGTATCCAGAGACTACAGGMGATTAATCGTCAAATTAATCGTTHTCGTCTAAATACCRYAATTAATCGTGATTAATTTTTTTGCCAATATTGCCCAACCCTACTTTTAAAGCCAAGAATCTGAAAATATCCTTTGGTCATTTTGACCAAATTTGACTTAATCCTCATTTCGATATGATGGGTCACAAATGTTAATTAGGTTTTTATTTTTAAAAATGTATGGAGAACAATGAACTAATAAAACAAACATAATAAACTTAATGAAAACATATATTCCCATGGCATTTAGGGGTTGAAATGACAATAAATTATCTTTTAAAACAGCCTTTGGTTTATGRGGGGGGGTCCCTGGAATTTTTTCGCCCTTGTAAGCGGTCCCCAGACCCAAATGGCTTGAGAACCCCTGCTTTACATGTTATTGGGATTATTAAGAATATGTATGTAGGGTAGAATTAAAGCATTTTACTAGAAATGACTAGGGACAGGAAACTATATAGTCATAAAAAAAATCTGACAACTGTTGAAAAGCTGAATGGAGTTGTTTTCAAAACAGAACATGACTATATGTTGGTATTTCCTAAACAGATTTTCTTCTTAGAGATTAACTGTTTGTTTAGGCTCAAACATCAGACTGTTAGATCTGTGTCACCTTGCTGAAGCCATCCTTGCTGAGGGTGTCTACGTTCCATGGCATCTTCTTCTCCTCTCTGTTGTGCTCCTCCATCTTCTTCGCTAATTCTCGCTCCTCTTTTTTAAACTTCTTCTCCTCAGCCTGCACTTTACTCAGTTCTGCTTTGGCGCCGTCAGATGAGGCAAGGCTCAACTCTTGTAATTTCTTCTGCGTCTCCGCCAGCTTACGCCGACAGTCGGTCAGACTCTTGTTGAGATCTTCACCCTTCTTTTGAAAATCTTCCATTCGCTCCACACGGGCCTGAAACACAGGGAATCACAACCAAAGCTGCAGAACTTTTATCTGCTTAATCATTTGTTTCCTCGGACAATTAAAATGAGCGACACCTCACCACCAGCTAGCATACAGTGCACGGGTCTTACATTTAAAAAAACAATATATTAAGCTTATTTTTGATTAAAACTGACCTGATGTCTCCATCTGAACAGACTGGGTGTGTCGATGTTGGGGTGGGTATCATCTTCGTCGTCCGAGACCTCAATGTGGTCCCACACGCTGTAATCTATCCTTGACATCCTGCAAACCAGAGCCCAAAGCTAACAGCTTAGCTTGTTTGAGAGTCAAATAAGTTCACCGAAGCTGACCACAACCAAACTAAAATACGTCCACAAACACACTAACACAACCACGCCTCTCAGAAATACGAATTTGTAAAAAATCCGGCGATTTGCTTTTTCACTTTAGGATAAATAGACTTGGACCTCTCCCACTCTCTTAGCCAGACGCTACTACAGAATTCTAGAAAGAATCGCTTCTACGTTTCCTGTTTACGTGATGACGCTGCGCCGTCAGAAGCACGCAAAGAAGTGTCACGTAAAGCGCTTGTTTTTTTCGTTTGTTTTTGTTTTTACTGCGAAATTTAAGATGTTTTTCGATGCTATGAACGACATATTTATCTTCAAAGATTCAGTCCTCAGTCCAGGAAAATGATCTAAATACATAAAAATTATAATAAATCGTATAAATAGGCACACTAACCTGCATGTAAGTTTTATACATA